TTGGGCAACTTCTTAGGTCGGAAACAATCCAATAAGGGCAAAAAACGCGATTGCAAAATTTTGATTTTCGGTCGAAAATTTCATAAGGGTCCCTATTCGAGTTATGACTAGACATAATTATTAAAGGATTATTCCAGTTTGATTCCGAGTCATAGTTTAAACCAATGAACTGTACAGAAGGTACTTTAGCATGGAGTTCATTGGTTTAAACAGAGGAAAGTGACCCTCCAATCAGAGGTCGTAATTTTATTACGTGACTTACAGCCAATCACACGTAGTTATTATTTGTTTTAAACAGCTGCTGCTGACAATGACAATGACAAGGCAAATGACAACACAACAGTTGTGTTGTCATTTGCCCAGTTTCAATTATCATAGACATATAACAAAAGTCTTGTTATGTCTTGTTATTTTTATTTTATTGTTTATTTCCTTCGAGTGTTTACTATCTAATCGTGCTTACCCTAGGTTGAGCAAGTCGCTTAATAGTTTCGATTTCCTTATCGGACATCACGTCGTGGAAAATGAACAAATCAGGCTCCAAATGGGCTTCCTCCACTTTGAAAGGCGCCAATTTCAAAAAAGGATTATCCCTCGATAAGTAGCGGCACTTTAGCTTGGCTTGAACCTCGACGGGAGTGGAAACTTCTCCTCTACAAAGCGCTTCGTAGAGATCTTTTCCAAAGGGATCATCATAGTTGGGCTACAGGAGAAGAAGAAAGCCCAAGCATATGAGTTAAGAGCTAATTTTTCAAATTATAGTTTTGTGTGATCAATATGAATTTCTTCGCTTGTGAGTGTGATTTTGTTGTCAATGGTCCATTAAAAACTTAATGAAACTGGAACAATTTCTCCTTAAAAAGCACTTAATATTAACCCTGTTTTTTTTACAAACTTCTTTTTGGGTATTTCGCCCCAAAAACTCTTGAGTTAGTAAATGGAAATAAATGAAAGTGAGTCATTACTTTGTAGAATTTTACCCCGTTTATTGGGATGTTTTCCGATTCGTCATCGCCCTTTCTTTTCACCGTTTCATTCTCCTGCCCCTTCAACTGGTCCTGATAGTAAACTTTATTGCCCAGCGCCCGTGAATGGGTTGGCGTCAATTCCAGCAGTTTGTTGGTCAGATCCAGGGCTAAAGCCACATTTCCTGCAGAAATTTCAGTTTTTTTCCCCATTTTTCATCCATTTTTTGCGCTTTGGCCAACCTTGTTTGTAAATGGAAAACGCCAAATACTCTAAAATATCACTCTGGTCCACAGTTTCGTTCGCTTCGCGCTTAAATCGGGCTCCAGCTTCTTCCATCCAAAGCTGCGTGTGGTAGTAGTCGCCATTATTATAGCTTTGTCTTCCCAATTCGAAACAGTCAGCCGCACTTAGTTCTGCACTGTATTTAACACCATTTAGCTCTCCTGTGGACGAAGAAGATATTTTATGTTTGAAGAAAAATGTGTTTGGGACTTTACCGCGAGCCAAAGAAGATGTGTCCAGTCGATATGTATCTTGGAGTCTCATTAAGGCCACAGCTGCACCGTTCAGGTCTTCGTCAGTAGGGAATTTCATGTTTTGCTTAACATATGATATGTTTGCTAGTGTATCTGATCGAATAAGAAAACAGGGAAAAATCCATTATAAGTTCATAACAAAGACATAACGATTTTTACGACCCAAAATATTTTTTCTCATTTATTCCAGACGCGGGATAATTGAAAATTGGCGTTATTCATTTGAGCGCAATTTCGGTTTAAAATGGACAAAAACATTGAAAATCTGACAACAACTGAGAAATAAAACACTCTCATAAACTGCACAAGAACTTTGAAATTGAAATCACCCTGATCGGTTAATCTACAAGAAAACAAACCTGCGTTCATATTTGTGTTAACCAGAGCCTCCACTTGAGTCCAATCGGCTGTTAATCTTTTGACTAACGTGTAGGCATTGATTGGATTGGACAAATAGGACTGGGCATCTTCTCTCGCTTTCTTCTGCTGTCTTTGGTAAATCGCTACATATCTATACCGGAAAAACTTGGCTGAATTTGCAGCTTTTGAATGGAAAAACCGGCGCAAATGTACCTTTTGAGGAGGTCAATTTTTTGCTCTTCAGCTTTAATGTAGTTTTCAACAGTGTCGATGAGAACGTGCTCGGTGTCTAACAAGTCCTCCAAGTCCACCATGGCAGTGTAAACTTCGCATCGGCATCTTTGGATTAGGAGTAGGAATAGGGAGATCACGATCAATGTATGGCACTTGAGCATGGCGGTTTTTATATCAGTTTGATGAGAATCTGCAAGCAAAAGCAAACTTTCTTCAGTTTGGGACGCCAATGTTCACAATCTGCTGCAGATCAATCCGCAGAGAGACAATGGAGATGATGCTTTCGTTGCATCACAAAGACGATAACATATTTTCACTAAAAGGTTGCGGTTTCTTGCAACGATGGATGCATTTGATTGTGTGCTTATTTCCCAACTAATCGTGACACTCACATAACTAATGCAGCCCGAACAACACTTGCCCCATGGATAAGTTGAAGCGATTATTCGCTTTAAGGTAAACTGAGCAGGATTTTTGCTTAGGACACATGTAAGATTGCTGGTGCAGCAATAAGTAAACATTGAATGGCTGGCCTAAACATGCTGACCTTTTGCGCTTAAAAATAAAAACAATTATTGCCAAATACGTTTGGACTTGATGCAACTCTTTTGCGCTTTACTGGTTACATTCGTGCTAATTTACCGTTGGATAATGTTTGGTGTTTCAAACCATGCACAAATCAACAAACATCGTTGGAGGAGGCGACCTAAATAGGATTTTTCAAATGTTTGAAGACAAATATTTGTTGCCTTATTATAAGTAGATTAGTAGGTTTAGAAGAGATGGGCCAGAATGGGTTTTTTTTGTGAAGAAATCTTGAATTTAATTCGTACATCGCATGTCCGATGGGGCTTTGCAGAGGATTTCTTCGTATAATTAAAGTCAAAGGCTGGCGCCGAACTACACAACATTTAATTGCGGTTATTCGCTATTTTTCAAACTCCATTTATGCTCTAATAATAGTGGATCCTTGTACTCAATAGGAAATGCTACATCGGCGCAAATTGTATGTCATTGAAAAAGCCTAATTATCAGTTTTCTCCATAACATTGCAGGATTTCTGATTGGAATCCTTGAGGAAACTTTCCTGGAGAATCCACTGTATTTAAAAGTAAATAAGAATTAATTGAAAATCGTGATGTAACCAACATCTACTAATTCCACTCAAGAGATTCAAGGAGCGTTTGCCACCGCATATGAAGATTTGTTGCATGCATTTGCAATTTATCGATAAATGCATGATGGTAATTTAACCAGATCCCAGTGTCGCATCAAATTTAACAGAAACGGTTGAATTTCAGGGCTGAAAGTAAGCAATTTTAATTTTTTGTCAAGTCAATCCTCGGTGAGAAGTGGCGAAGACGTCTGGCTTGCATTTGAGTTATCAGGCCAAAACTAAAAGTTTATTTCTACGCCATTTGATAGAGGAAGATTTCCTCTATAAGTGCGCGCAAAACTGTTTTACAGGCGATCTTCCTCGATTTGCGACAATTATCTAAACTGCTGGGTAGATAATTGCGATCTTCCCGCTTCCAACACCCGATAAAGAATTTTTCAAAAATGTTTTCTCAAAAATGTGATTGAATAGAACGCTCCTTTATACGCCATCGGATAGAGCAAGGTTTACTCTATTAGATCCAGAAATATTAATTTAGCGGTAGTTTTCCTCGATTTTTGGCAACTGACTAAACTTTTGGGTAGATATTTGCAAAGCTCCCGCTAGTCAGGCTCAGCGAGGCAATTTTCAAAAATGTTTCAACCAAAATTGGGATCAAATAGGAAGCTGCTCTTTACCGGCTTTGACAGAGTCAAATTGCTCTATTGATCCGCTGAGCTTCGTTTTAATAGTGATTTTCCTGCATTTTTTTAGATCTCGTAACTCTCGTGATGAGCTTCCGATTTTTACTTTAACTCGAATTATTTTCCTCAGAATCACTGCCAACCAAACAGGGGTTTTCTACATCATTTTGTAGAGAAAGCTTTGCCCTATTCGTGCACCCAATATTGTTTCTCGCGAAAATTTCCTCGATTTTTTACAACAATCTAAACTCTTGGGTTGATAATTGCAATGTTCCATCTAGTCACATCAGGAAAAATATTTTTTGGAAAAATTTTACTCAAATTCACGAATGATTTTAGGACTCCTTTTTACGCGATTTTATAGAGAAACTTTTGCTCTATTCGTGGGATGATATTGGATTTTAAACCATTTTTCCTCGATTTTTGGCAATAGTCCCAACTCTAATCGACTAATAATTGCATAGTCCCGCTAACCACTCCCGGTTAGGCATTAAAAAAAAATGTTTTAATCAAAATTTAAATATCTTTTCACCATTTTAATTAGAAAACTTTGCTGTATAGCCGTGCAAAGCATGGTTTTAATGGCTATTTTGCTCGATTTTTTGCATATTTCCAAACTCTCGGGAAAAAAGTACAATGACTCTCAAGTCCCACTCGAAAAAACATTTTCAGGCTTATCAAAAAGAGCTATTTTATAGAGGAGGTTTTGCTCTATTTGACTACCGATTATTAAATTAAAGGCAATTTTCCTGGATTTTTCACAATTTTTTAAGTTCTTGGGTAATTAACTGGTATGTTCCCGCTAGTCACACCAAGCAAGGCATTTTTCAAAAAATTTTTACTCGAAACTGTGATCGATCAGAGTGTTATGTTGTACTCCATTTGATAGAGAAAAGGTTGCTCTAAAAGTGCGACAAATTTGAAGTTAAGGGCAATTTTAGTCTATTTTTGGCAATTGTGTAAACTTTTGGTAGATAATTGCTATGTTCCCGCTAGTTGCACCCGGCAAGGTATTTTTCACAAATTTTTTACTCGAAACTGTGGTTGACCAGAGAGTTCTTTTGTACGCCATTTCATAGAGAAAAAGTTGCTCTATAAGTGTGAGAAATTTGAAGTAGCGGCCAATTTTCGTCGATTTTTAGCAATTCACTGAACTCTTGGATTGATAATTGCAATATTTCCGCTATTCACACCTGGCAAAGCATTTTTCAAAACAATTTTACTCGAAACTGTGATCGATCAGAGAGTTATGTTGTACTCCATTTGATAGAGAAAAATTTGCTCTGTTGGTTGGCTCAGTGTCGGTTTAATGGCCAATTTTTTTAATGGCAAAGTTGGCGATTTTTTGCCAACTCCCAAATCTCCGGGATGCAATCACAATGTGTCCTCTCCTCCAAACCTGCGCCACATTTAAATTTTCTGTTTGTCTGTTTTGGGACAAGTGTGATACAATTTTCGTCTAGCCTCGCAATTTTCCAAACAATTTTGAAGATGAACCACCCATGAGAATGCAAGTCACAAAAGCAAGCGAAACGTCTGCTTAAACTACCACGCCCTCCCATCTGGTTGCTTCAATTATGAGACTAATAGATGCAATTTGCATGAGCAGTGTTTGCAATCACGCACTTAATTTTATTTTTACTTTTTTAAATTTTAAGCAGCTTGTTCCAGTCGCCAGCACTTTAACAATCAGCTCACTGTGAATGTGGCCCATGTAAATTTATCTCTAAAAATAGATTTACATGTTTCCGTTGAGTTTTATAGGCAAATTCATCTGCCAAGTTTTCCTAGAGCTAGAAACCTTTTGAAGGTTTTGGGCTGAATTCAGAGAACGAATTAGATTAGAATTTAGAGAAGAATTTAGTCACGTACGCATCAAGATGTGCACTTTAAACGCTGTAAGTTCGGTGGAGAAATTCGCAAGTAAATGAGGTAATAGAATCAAATAAGAACACCATAAAAAGCGAAAAAAACGACTGAATTAATGGGCTTAATTTCTTCATGTTGGGAATGAATTAAAATTCCGTGATGAGCTTTAATGGTACCCGGCCCACATGCGCTTATCTCCAATTTTTGCGGCCTCGTCGCAAGTTTGCTTGATAATAACGTCGCTAAGATAAGTCGATTGATGTAATAAATTTCCTAAAGCGTTAAAAACCACAAATATGCCCAGGAGTAGAAAAAGGAAACTAATAAAACCATTAAAAATATTTGAAAAAAATAAAAAAGAACCACAACAAACAAACCCCTAAACAAAATCCCGCTCAGCTCCCCCTGCAGTCGAAGAGTGGCACACTGCAACGCCCAAGAAAATCAATATCTTCGCACGAGCAAAGATTGGTGAGTTCAAATACTTACATATATTTTGCTGGCCTAATGGAAATGCTGACGAGAACTTTCTTCAATTGAAGAACTATACATCAACACCACTCCATTGAAGCACTGATTTTAAAACCGATTCCCGGCTGCAATGGAACATTTGGATCGCGAATGATCTAAAATACACATGTTTGTGCCACCATGTGTTCCAGCATCATTGTTGCCGCAACACCCAGTAGAAAAATCAGTAGATTGAGTCGCGTGTTGAAGATGGGAAGATTTTTTTTTAGTCAGAAACTTTATTTCGCCCTGCGTCAAATTTAAATTGAAATAGGTATTTTGATAAATTTATTTTGTCTGGAAGACATGAACAATTAAATGTTTGCTAAAAGCGGTGCAGGAAAATCGCAATTAAATGCGCAAGTAATTGATTGAAAAAATAATTAATACTAAAACGCGCGTTTAAGGAGAAGTGAAATGTTGAAACAAAATTAATTTGGAAGCTTACAAAAATGTGCAGTTTTATGAGCGATCAATTTGTTTTTTTTTGTCATTCTAACGCCTCTACTTCAATTTTTTTCACAAATAAACCTTGCCCGATACAGAATTGAAAATTCTTAGAGCAAAAGAAAATTCCAAGTTGCAACTTCAATCTTAATAACCATAAAGAATTTCCAGTAAATTAACAAAACAAAAGTTATATGACTGGCCGATAAAAAACCGAGTAAAAAACCTGAAAAAAATCCTCAGAAACACAAGTGGCGACAACGTCGAAAACACAAAGAAGAAAAATGAACATTAGCGTTTTCCCAATCTCTTCAAACAGGGTTTGGAACTACAGGGGCCATCTGAAAATAGCGAACGAACTGCGTTCTTGATGTAATGCTGCAGGCGATACATTCCTGTTTGTAAACGCGATAAATGCGGAGTCTCATCGCAAGAGACCGCAACGAATATCGTCCAAAATATTTTGAATTCTGTATTTTTCCGATCATAAATTGGGATTAGCCAGTAAACCTGCTATAATTTTTTCTCATTCAAGTCTTTTAATGCGGTTTTAAATACCTAATAAATGAACAAACAATTAAATCTTAAGAAGCATTCAAATATTCTTAAAAGGAATTTACATCAAGAAAAATTATAATTAACAATGCACAATATGTTTGCATGCTACGCTTGTATACAAGCCAACCTTTTTAGCGCACTCTAAAAGAGCCACGTAAAACACATTATTGTTATTCTACACAAGCGGCAAATTAAAATTATGTTCAACTTTCGTATATCCTCTCGAGATGTGAATCATAAAGGAACTTCCAGGTTCAAAGAGAATGTCGCTTCCAAAATCGAACTGTTTTATCTAAATGTTTACACCTTTTATTCGTTGTTTTTAATGTGTTAAAAATATTTAAAAAATTGTTATATAAGAAAAGTTTGTCGGGAAAGTATAATTATTTTCGCAACTTTTCTCGATGATTGGAACATATGTAGGAAAAATTTTCACTCAAACCCTCAAAAACTAGAGAACCATTTGATAGAGAACCGTTTTCACACTATTTGATAGAGAAATATTTGATTTATTATTGCGCTTAACATGGTTCTAAGCGCGATTTTCCTCGAGTTTTGGCAAACTTTCCGATGCAAGTAACAATGTGAATCTTGCTCTATTATTTCTCTAAATAGCTCGTCCTAGCTAGTTTTTGACTATTTTTCAATTGCCTACATTTTCGTGTTTAAATTGTTCTCAAAGTTGTTGTTTTACAACAAAATTTTTATAATTTTGGTAATTTTATAAACTTTCTGGTTGAAATTGCAACGTTTTCAGCAGCCTAACGCGGAGAAGTATTTTCAAAAATCATCACTAAAAATCTAGACTTGCCAAGAAATTTTGATTTTTGCCCTGAAATAGGGCAATACACTTGCCGAGTTTCGTTAAACAGAGAAATTTCCTAGATTTTTGGCAAATTTTCAATCTGTCGGGTTGAAATTCGCGAATTATCTCCAATCCCACTGGACAAAGCAAATTCGAAAATTTTTTACTCAAAACCAGGGCAAATTCGAAAATTCTTTTGCACACCATTTTATAGAGAATGCGTTGCTCTATATATTGGTGAAGTACGATTTTACGCAAAAAATTTCCTGAATTTTTACGATTTTTCAAACATGCGAAATAAAAGTGCAAAATGTTCTTTAATTTATAGGACAGATCCTATTCAAAAAATTTTAGTTCAAAATCTGGAGCAGCCAGGAGGTTTTTAATTGCTCCATTTAATAGATAAATGCTTACGCTACACATCCACTAAATTTTGCTTTACAAACAAATTTTCTCAACTTTTTGCAATGTTCCAAACTATGGAGAAGAAACTACAAAATGTTTGTTCCTTCATCTACAAATCATTTGTGAAAATTCATGACTGAAAATCTGGATCAGTCAGAAAATTCACATTTGCTGCATTTATTAGAGAAGCATGTGCGCTATACATTCGCCCAGTTTCATTTCAGGGACAAATTTCCTGGATTTTTGGCAATTTTCCAAACTATCGAGCTGAAATTGTAAATTTATCTCTAAAGTTTTTTCGAAAATTCTTAACTCGAAATTAAGGCAAATGGCAAAATTATTTCAAACACCTGTGCAGAAAGCTAGCTTTGTTCTATATACCAACAAAAAAAATTCATTCCACAAAAAAAAATCCCAAATTTTTTACTCCTTTCAAAGAACCAACCAGAAAATTCGTGTTAACTACATGTGATAGAGAAATGTTTGCTCTACACATCTGACGAGCCTCGATTTACAGAAAAAATTTCTCGATTTTTGGCATGGATTTTCCAAACTCTCGAGTCAAGATTGCAAAGTTTTCTTTAATTAAAAATCAAAATCAGGAGGAACCCTTAGGCTCCTTTTCATACCACTCTATATGCTCAGCAAGTGTCGTTTCATAGCAAAATTTCCTCGATATTTTACGACTCCAAATTTTAGGGCTGAAAAATGTTGAACTTTTCTTTGGCAAATCGACTCAAAAAACCAATTAGGTAACACAGAAAACTTAAAAGTGGCTTCTCAAAAATCCAAATTCAAATCACTCTGTATATAAGGTTCTGTCCTTGACACTCAATTGTAATTCCGTTCGTGAACCTTAAACGGGCAGGTATCATTGTTAAAGGATGAAAAATGGACGGAATACATTAAATCCCCGGTTCCTGATAAAAAAAAATCAGGTATGCATTATGGCCTCTTCCTTAGCACCAAAGCCAGCACATTTGTGCGTAAATTTCGACCATTGCCAACAGCACGAAAAGCTCTTGAAATTCATTATAAATCAGCCTGTTAGTGGGTGGAAAATGTGCTAATAGAAACAAGAAAATCACATTAGGGGTGAGTCAAGTAAAAAAGAATTAAGCTCTGAAGTGCAGGCTAGATTTAAAGGATTTAAAGCCTTGCTCTTAGCCATAAATAGTGCATTTATTGTTTGAATGCCTATTAATTAGGTATAGCTGATATCGAACTTGATCAAGTACTTTCTGTAATTTTTATCGAACCCTGATAATACAGGCCTGATTAAATGATAGCATCGTTTCCGTCCAAGTGTTAAACTAATTGCTCAGGTGATCGATTTGATTTATTTTGTCGTTTAAGATTTTTTCTCATTTGTTTCCTCCTCAGTTTGTACTCAAGAGACGCTCGAATTCAACTCGAGCTTTAAGAGCTGAATTTACTTACCTTGGTAAGTAGCATTTACATAAAATAATTGAATGAAAAAGGCGCTTTTTAAAACGTACTATTGATGATAGGAAGTTTCCATTTGCTAATTTTTCTCCAATTTTCTATTGAATGTTATCGCATTTTACACTCAGCGGGTTTGCAACTAATTGCCGCAATAAATTTCCTCGCTTATCGCGTCAAATGGCAGAGGAAAGTAGGAAAACTGTCCTAAAATGCACCTATTTTAATGTGTAGCTAGTTTATGAGAAAAATTGTAAAACTTTTCCAATAACTGACAAAATTTCGTCCAGCAAACGCCTTATTGCAGCGAAGAAATGCAGTTCTAAAAATATCCCCGATATACAGGGAAATTATTTTAGAACCCTGGCAGTTTGTTTATTGCTATATAGCCCGATAGCGATAAAAGCAGACACAAATTTCATTGCTAAATAATGCCATTATTCCACTCTTCTTTCCTTGAACATTCCGCAACGGTATGCTTATTAACACCAGTCATTAAGTGATGTAATTTTTACTTTCAGTTTCTGCAAAATAAGAACAGTTGTCCAGTTCGATGGTTACGGGTATGAATGTGCGAGGCGACAGTGAGCGCGTTTTTGTTGTTTTGCGGAAAATTCACATAAATCGACGTGATTTCACCACGAATTATGATGCCGATTAACTGATTTATTTACTGGCAGGTAAATGGATTGAATGTAAGAAGAAGCGAGTCCTCGACTGACGACTTAATAGATTTATTAGCACCGTTTCTTCATGTATTATGTATGTTGCACTTCACTTTTAAGCAACGCTAATTGTTTGACGTGACGTATGAAATGGTTAATCATCGTTTAAACCATCGGTGATTATCGGGCCATTAGGCTGATGTTTAGAGAAAATTGGTCCTGACGTTTCGCTGGCACGCATTACAACCATTTTCAGAGGTGCAAACGCACCGGCGAGCAAAATAAAATACCCACCAACTACGGCTTAATAGCCCAAAAATTCAGCTGAACTGCTTTTGTTTAGGTAATTAAGTCTGTTCGGTATCATCTATAGAAGAGTGTTTGTTTTGTGTGCACACAGTCTGATTCGAGCGTTTCTAATGAAACTGAAAATTCCATTCTGGAACGTAACTGGCAGCGGATGTTTCGCTCGCACCCACGAGGTGGCCGATGGTCGGCGCGCTGCTGCGTTCGAACTTGCTACCTTCGCGGCTAAAAATTTATCAAGGTGTTTTTTCCGTTCGTTTCCAAATAAAAAAACACACTTTGACAAACATCAAATTTTTCACGGGCTCGCAGTTGGCGTATAAGTAAAAGAAGTTAACTGAAAAATGCCACTTAAATGTGATTAATTCCACTAACTGTAGCACCATTTACAGTAAATTTTTAGTGAGCTTTTTGGCACCTTCAATGTGTTTCGCAGTCCCAGATGTTTGCGCTAAATTCCGGGTAGCAATAATAATACGCATTTGCCCCGTTACTTCCTGATACGTTGGAGCAATAATTGTTCTTATAAAAATTCCCATTGTTTTTCTAATCAAGTGGATGATTTGAAGCATTCGGAAGAGGTAAGTATGTGTTAATTTTCATTCACATATTTTTTGTTAAAGACACTTAACTCAAGCCCACTGTTGAAAATATCGGCAATGAAATAATTGAATGGTTGGATTTTTCTGGTTAGACAGTTGAAAAATAATTAAGGGAAATTGGGGTCTCTAAAAGGTTGGCCGTGTAATTGAGAGCCGCTCTGCGCGTTAATAAAAAAATATCCGAGCGAACAACTTCAGCAGGAAATCTTAAATAAATTTTCAACGATAGCTTGTAATAGACATAAATGTGTCCTCAAACTGTTAAAAACTTGCTGTATTTCGGAAATTTTTGAGAACCTTCAGACTAGAGTCGCAAATGGGGGTTTATTAATTCAGATTTATCACGAATTTCCCTCAAAAACCCACAAACTTAAGTAAATGAGGCGGAATTAATTGGAAATTTTGCTCTCGCGTTTTCCAGCAGAAATCGATGCTAGCAGCTTGTCTAAGAGGTTTCTATTGAAAAGTTGATTAAATTCACATCAGCTACAGTTCAAGGGAAATTTTCAAGGCTTTCATTTGAATAAAATTGGCCCTATTTTCTCTTTTGCAGATAAAGTGCGCCACTAGGAAAGCTGAAAAGCGAGTTTCCAAGCAACCAACTTCTGCATTTTTTCTTGTTTTCTTCAAATTCCTTCTTGTGCTTGCCTGCAGCTCTGATCTATTAGAGATGTCTAAGCAAGTTTACCTAAAATTTTTAAATTTGGTTTCAGATATGAAGAAACTCATTGCCCTTCCATCATGCAACCAAACGCTTCTTCTCCTTTGGATTTCCTCCGGATTGTTACCGATTGTGTTCGGAACATATCAAGTAGGAGTTGGTCGGGCTGATATGACTGGACCTTCAGCAGAAATCACTCTTGTAAGTCACCAAATACAGGGTTTTTGATAAGGATTCGAAAATATTTAAAGTAATTTCAATCTACTACTGAAGGAAAAGTTTGCAGGTGCTTAAATCTGTTTTAGCCAGTAAAGTTTACATTTAACAAAATAATGGAAGTTGAAGGAAAATTTGAACATCAGCATGAGTTGAGCTTTATTTGTTTATTGAAAAGATATCGAACATTGTAGAGATGCAATCTGGCACAACATCCACGCTAAATGGCTATTAAGAATGCATTTTGGTTGAAATGTTATCATAAAACTATAAAATCTCTTGCAGTCGTAAAATGTTTATTCGCGCGAAATGAGCATTTTCAAACCGTAAAATTCGGCGGGAAATTAATGCTACGTTATTATCCGACGTAAAAGTGTTTGTATTTCGATTTATTCCACAAAAGGGATTTGGTTTCACACTTGATAAATGCATGAAATTTTTGGCTTCAAACTTAATCAGAACCGGATCTAGCAAAAGAACTTGACTAAAACAAACTAGCGAATAATCAACATATTGCGTATTTTCAGATGGGATATGCAAAACTAACGCAAAAAGGCTGCGGAATCCACTTGAGGCAATTTGCCCGAGCCTTTATTTTTGACGATGGCACCACAAGAGTTGTCTTCGTATCTGCTGATGCCTGCATGATCTCCCATGGACTCAAAAATGCAGTAAGTGTAATTTTTTCACTGCACTAAATCCTACGAAAACACTTGAGACTGTGAAGTATGCACGTAAAACATCCAGACATTTTTTCACCCAGTTATCTTGTTGGTACTCGAAGTTGATAAGCGGCTCAAAAACATCACATTTGCTAGTTTTGAAACTGGGGACTGTTATATCAAGCTCCATTATTTAGTACAGAGTGGAAAATCTTCACACAATTTTTCAAATTCCTGTAGTAAAATGTTTGTTGGCTTTATTTGGACAAACCTCCTGAATCCTGGATGAGCAAAACAACTTTACGAGGTTTCCATTATTTATTTACTTACGTAATGCTGAGCTGCATTTTACGCGTGAAATTTGCAACTCGTTATTTCCATCCATATATCCAGATGCACTACCTTTATTGAAAAATGTGCATTTCAAATTTGTTTTGGTCTTAATTAATTCACCCAGTTTACCCAGAGGTTTGGCACCAACCAAACGCGACTTGCAAAAATTCTGGAAAATTTCATGATGATGACTGACATTGGAAACTTTTCCACTTATAGAAGCGAGTTTTCCTTAAAAAAATTATCCAAAATCGACTTTCTCACCTCGCAAGCACCAGAGAAAATAAATGCTAAATTCCTGATTGCAAAATCCACCACAAAAACCAAACGTGATTTTGAAAAATTGCTGAAAATTTCCTGATGGTGACTGAAAATTGAAACGTTTTTCCTTATGAAAAGAACTCTTTCTTAAACAAATGCATCGCAAATTGAATTTTTCCCTTCGAAAACGACAAAGAAAATACAAATTCAAGTCCGGCCTGCAAGAACTAGCAAATTGAAAGCTATATAGAAAAAATCTTGCAAGTTTCCTGATGATGATTGAAAATCGAAACTTTGACTTTCTACAGGTGATGGAGAAGCTGGAAACTAAATACAACTCTACTTATACGTTCGAAAATTTCATTTTGAGCGGAACTCACACTCATGGAGCACCTGGAGGATTTCTCATGGATGTTTTGTACGATATCACTCAACTGGGATATTGCAAGGAGACTTTGAATGCTTATGCCAATGGAATTTTTCTTGTAAGTAGTTTTTAGTCGGAAAATATAAAAAACGCCCAGTTTTAACTCCAGTAATGGGAGAAGCGTGCAATAATATCGGGCTTTTGAATGGAAAGCGTAATAACATCTGAGCAAAGCTGGCAGATGCTGTAATACGAATTATTTTACGTGTAAAGGATTAGATTTATCCAAAATGGAGCTCGAACAGGAAAAGCACATGTTAAAGGAATAATAAAAATGAATTAAAACCAGAATTTTTCCTCAAAATATAAAAAATCAATTGCAGGCGAACAACACAAAAGTTCAACACTAACCCTCGGATAATTGGATTTGCAATTTTCCTTCACTAATTACTTCCTAAAGTGATTGAATTAAGTCCGTTTTCAAGTTAAGCACACTAACGACAATAATTTGACACTCCGAAGCCCGACAGTAGTTTAGTAATTACACGATTAAGTTTATCCACGTGTTGCACAAATTCGGCCCAATTTTCCGGCTAATCTGGATAAAATTTCCATTGCATTTTTTATTGGTCTATAAATCCAACACAAGAAAAGTTGTCGGATTCGTTGTGTATCCGCATTTATTTATCGAAAGCTCGAAAGAATAACATCATATTGACAGAAATTTGTCCCGACGTTTCGCTAACAGGCATAGCTGGCATCTTCAGAGGTTTATTCGCACCCAAACACACCTCTAAAGACCGCCAGAATCAAATTCCTATCAACAAAGCCCTAATAAATCGAAAATGATTATTTACTCAAACTATTAACTAATAACACCATTAAGAGAGGTGTGAAGAATGCAAAATTGTTTTTGCTCTAAAAAAAACGAAACGCGCATTTTGCCTAGCTGATAACTGAAATATTTTTAGCTGTGAATGTGGCAAGTTGGAACGCAGCAACGGGCCGATCATTTTGCCTCTCTTATATACTTCTATAGGTGCGGGTGAGACAACCAATGCCAGTTACGTTCCCGGCTGGACAATTGAGTTTTAATTGACTCATTCAAAACAAAGTTTGAGAAGCCGAAAGAAACAAACAGATTTAAGTTCCTATCAATAAAGGCTTAACTTCTATTAACAAAGACGTATTCAGAGATAATTAATGACTTTTGAAACTTCCCCTGGTAGAAACTGTTTCCCATGGTAAATTCTTCACTGTTTTATTCCGATTTAATGAAAAATGGGCCCAAGAGTTCAATAAATAACTTCTTCTTCTAACTCCATTAATTACCTGCTCCATATTACGAATCAATAACACCTAATGGGGCCTTCGAAACTCGATTTATGAGCGCATTTATTTTCTCTGTGGGTCGAAGATGGTTTCGGGAAAAATGTATTTTGGTTAAAATTGCACAACCCATAAGTTGATGAAGCCGAATGGCGCAATACTTTGCTGCATGCTCGTTTTCCATGAAAAAAACCTTTGAGTCAAGAAAACACGGGAGTTTTGCCCGATTAACCTGATTAAATTCTGGTTTTAAAAAACCAGCTGAAAGATAATCTGAAGCGCTTTGTAAAGGTTGCGGATGTTTTGAAAGCTTTCAGCGCAAAGCTCAAAAGATGAACTTCGTTATTTTCATTTTTTCGCCTATTTTAAAGGTTGTTGCCTTAAAGATCATTTAAGCTGCCAGAGAAGCAAACGTATTTTGTTTTTCAACCTTCCGGCTAAAATCCTTTACGATTCGGACAAAAACATCAACCTCACAAGAACAGTCGTTACTTCCTTTGCCGGTTCGGAGTCCTCAGATTCCTGATTTTACATCAAAACGGGGGAATTTGTGTCCAAATTGCCGTTCAATTTGGGGATCAGGAAAAAATAACTTAAAACCGGACAGAATTCGAAAGAAGCAGTCGCAATTTTAGCGTCCAATTAAATTTCGTTTTGTTTGCAGGCCATTCAGAGAGCTCACGAAAACATCGTGGAAGCGCGAGTTTTCATTAACTCCGTAGACGTTGTAAATGCCAACATAAATCGCAGTCCTGCATCATACGAAAAGAATCCTCAAGAAGAAAGAGACAAGTAAGAAAGTGCAGTTTTGCTGAAGTTCTTCAGAAAATGCTAAAATTTCAAATGAGTAAATTCATATCCAAAATCCAGACAAAGTGGATCGAAATTTCAATTCAGGAAATACTTGGAATGCTTGTTGGTTTCAATTAAGCACCGCTAGAATAGTTCGAGCAACTTAAGTAGCAGGATAATAAGGAAAGTTGCAAATTAATTAAATATTCGCAGGTGTTAAAGTCAGGAGATGATTCTTGTTCAGTGTTATTGTGAAGGAAATTTCGTGTTTAAGGCAACTTTTATTTTGTCTTCCAGATACGACTACAATACTGACAAAACATTGAGGCAGCTGAAAATCACTCGTTCTTCAGACAATGTGGTAATTGGAGCCATTAACTGGTATGCTGTCCATGCTGTTTCAGTCAATAACACCAATTGTTTGGTAACAGCTGATAATGTGGGGCATGCTTCTATTCTATTGGAGGCTGAATACAATCCCAACAGCGTGATAGGACAGGTAGGAAAAAACGCTTAAAAATCAATGACAAAAATGTCTCAAGCAATATTGCTTGGAAACTGTTGAGTTGAAAAATTTCGGTTTTATTCAGTCAACATTCATACAGTTTGCTCAAAACCGTTGCCACTAAAAACACTATTAATCACAAAAATGTTGCCTCTTTGCAATAAAAATGGGGATTTCTTATGTGATTAGATTTCCTCGGGAAAAGTCCAATTCGCTCTCATCGAGCGGAAAGTAAGTGTCGTTAAAAGTGAACCCTAAACTTTGACAATCCGAGTTTACTACATACTAAAAACGCATTTCCCAAATAAACCATCAAAGTTTGAGCACAAAACTTCGAAGAGAAAGTGTGAAAAGAATCAATAAGGAAATCCCTTCTTTAGGAAATTAGGCTTAATTTCTTACAGAAGCTTTGGCCAAAGGCAGTTGAAAAATCAGGTAAGCACAAAGAAATCGGGTCCTTTTCAGAAACTCTTCATCTAGTTGGGCTGATTATATAAACCGACTGGATTTAGTCCCCAGCTTATCAAGAAAAGTCCAAGAAATTCGTCACAAATTTATTTTCCGGCTGCACACTCTGAAAACAGCGTGTTGAGTTCAAGGGAATGAGCTTCGCATTTAATGTCAGCTTCTAAATGTTGCAAAGAAACTCATATAATTAAAGGAAAATTTTAGGGCAGCTTTGTTGGAGCGTTTGCTTCGAGTAATCTGGGCGATGTTTCTCCCAACTTAAAAGGGCCGATTTGCGTGAATACCGGAGAAGAATGCGACTATCAAACCAGTACTTGCAATGGGGAAAACAAGTACTGTATTGCCATGGGCCCGGGCGATGATATGTATGAGAGTGAGGAAATTATTGCAACTCGTCTATTTGGGAAAGCCAAGGTAAGTTTCCCGCATGTATTCATTAATTTATCGGGCTTGTTAAACGCAGGGTGTTTTTTCGCAGTTTCAGAGGTTTGTTTGCACCCGATCATACCCAAAAAGCATCGTTTGTCCATAGAATTTTACAAGCTTGCGATGCGATTTTTATCTAGTTTTTAGTCGTATCATTAATAAAATTTCTCTTCGAACTGCAAATTTGCACTTTTTTCAATACGGTTTGCATGTAATTTTTCTTTTGAACACCTCTAACATACAGGACCATTATTTAAAAAATTATTATTTTAAAAACTGTTTCGAATGAATCTTACACGCCCATTTCGGAACGTAGCGGATATCGGTTTTCTCACTCCCACCCGTTAGAGGCTATAGCAAACATTAAATGACTGCGCGGTGCTACGTTCCATCTTGATACCATCACAGCTAAAAATTATTCAGTTTTGACCGAAACACCGAGCTGTTTTATTCGTTAGGAAATGAAAAATACTTTCGAAATTCCTTTGGACCACTGGTTAATAACCCTAAATAATTAATTTTCTAACAGTTGGTCTGCAGCAGAGAATTTCCTGATCCTTTAAATTTCCCATCATTTCCAGCGCTGTTCGGTTTACTATTTCCTGAGCATATTTGCTGCTTAGTAAATTAATTCCTGGTGGTTTTGCAAACACAAACACCACAGTTTGTGCTCGGTTGCACTTTATTGATAGTCTTTCCCGGTAAAACGAGCTGTCAAATTACTTACGATATACAGTAAACAACAACGCTGGTTTCAATTTTTAACAAGATTTGCCCTGAATTTCCGCCGGTATTTTCTTGCAAGGTTTCTGCTGACGATTAGCTTGAACTAATTCGGATTAAAAGCTTTCACACATTTCATGCGGGTTGAATTAATTAAGGCACATCAATGCAAAGTGGAAGAAGAGCTTCGGATGTTTTGAGAGTTTTCTTTCTTATTGTTTTCTCTAAGGGCGGGTTTAAGAAAGGCACGTGCAGTTCGAGCTTGAATAAATCAAACTTCAATCCTCCTGCAGAGGCAACGTTTAAGGAAACTTTCAAATCCACTTTGGAACTTTGCGGGACGCCGCTATACTTCAACGCACTTCCGATTGGGATGCGTTCAAATTTTAGCTAGCAACTTGTTGAAACGGGAAATTACGTAGACTTTGAAGGATGGGGAGATTTATGTGAAGATTAGTAGCGATTGGACTACTTTTGAGTTTCACTGAGCAACTGGCCAGAAAATCGCTGTTTTATTAGCAGCTGCAAACGTGCTTAGAAAGTTTCTTGAAAGTGCAAACGATGAAAGTTTGGAAAAGTTGCCCCAAGTACAATTTTCGCAATTTTCCCAAAACGACCGACTCTAAATTTGGGCTAAAGTATTTCGCCAGCCAAATTACTTTTGGGCGAATTATTTTTGGTTTCCGGGTAATATCAGCTGGAGCTCGAAAAGTTTGGAGATTTCATGTTGTATTTATGGACGTGTGCATACGCTTTCAATCAGAACTTTTAGATTATCTTCCGATTGGAAGAATTCGTAAAGTGAAAGAAACTGCAATTTATTCGGGAACATTATCGTGGAGAATCGAACAACTTTTTGTTTGTTTCCAGAAAGGAGCACGAGAAAAGGGCTGTTTTGCGATCTAAATGTACTTGAAATGTCGTTATTTTTGTTGTTAGAAAAATTGGGAAATTTTCAATATAAGTCTTAAATTGTACATCATTTTCGGCTCACGGGAGCGAGGAATGCATCGAACTCATTGAAAAACATGCTAGAGGTTTCAGATCCGAAATAATAGACATTTTCGGCAAATTTTAAGCGTTTTTTGATCGGTCACGATCTTTAATCGACGATTTCTTCATTATTATTGACCCAAACACAGTGGAATCAGTAGACAAGTGTTTTGAACACTTTCGTTCGTGCGGCTTTATCACAAATCCCTGCCGAGAGGGTCAGAAACCGTGTGGTAAATGCGCGAGGCCTTCACGAACTGCCAGTTAAAAATTGGCTATAAAACACTCCCGATGTGAGCAAAACTGCAATTTGCTCTTAAGAAAACGACAAATTTCCATTGCAATTCAGAAAAAAAAAGACTCAAAAACAATTTGGGCACAATTAACACCGATATTCAAAGAAAAACTTGTGAACTATCAGTTGAAAAATTGCTATAAAACACAGTAATCAGTTGAAAAACCCTCCATTTATAGAAAACTAAATTTATAGAAAAAAACTGTAGAAAAATGTGACACATTTTAAAATTTTAGGAACTACTGTTAAATGAAACATCCCAAGAAGTAACTGGACCAATCAAGTACATTCATCAATGGGTGGAAATGGCTAATCAAACCGCTCAGATTCAGAACGCAAATGGAACAATCGAGACTGTAAGTTCCACTAGCAGGTTATTTTCCCATTATCGTCAATATAAGCCGATCAGGCCGGCATAGTTCAAGCAAATTGAAAACAAACAAAGAAAAACCCCGAGAAAGCAACCTACAAGTTTAGCCTTCACGCTCTTGCACTTAAGCCTAATAGCTTCAAAGGCCTGAGACTTTCAAGAGCCGGAAGAGCTTAAAAGGAAACTTCCAGTTTGGGCATCGAAAATGAAAGTTTCCAGTGAAACTCTTTATTTTAGGTGCACGGTTGTCTTCCGGCGATGGGTTACGCATTTGCAGCTGGCACAACCGACGGTCCAGGAGAATTCGACTTCAAACAGGCCCAAATCACTGATAATCCCTTTTGGAATCTGATACGGGACTTCATTTTTCCGCCCGAACCCCAAGATATTGAGTGCCATTATCCGAAGCCCATTCTAATGAACACCGGGCGGGTAAAAACGAGACGTTTAAAGGGGATGATTGAGTGAAAAAAAATTAATTCCAGTTGACTGTGCCATACTCCTGGCAGCCAAAGATAGTTTCCACGCAGATTCTTCTGCTGGGAAACTTTGCCATGATTGCTGTTCCAGGGGAATTTACCACCATGTCTGGCAGAAGACTTCGAGACACCGTAAAAACCGCTCTTATTTCCAGCGGCGGCGATCCGACCACCGAAGTGGTGCTGACTGGACTCAGCAACACCTATACTAGCTACATTGCCACGTTCGAGGAATATCAGGTAAAATATCAAACCTGCTTGAATTCCCAATAAACAATACCTGAGCAAAGCGGCACGTGAACGGTGTATATTTCACAAAGTTCCAACAGGAAAATATGTTAAATCGGCATTTGCCCGCTAGTCCCTTTCAATATGCTTTACGGGATCAGACCTTTATCAAATTAAACCATATTGGGACTGTTTACAGAATTCCAGGCGATCAGGGGGCGACATTGATTGAGTTAGGAAACAAACAAGTGTTTGCTAACTCAAATAATTTTCCCAGCAAAATGCTAGTCAAAGGGCTGAGGAAACGTTTTATTTTCCAGCTTCAGAGATATGAAGGAGCCGCCACTATTTTCGGGCCGCACACCTTGCAAATCTACCAGTCGATATACAAGAATCTTGCGGAAGCGATTATACAGGTGAGTTTTTGGTTTCAGTATTTTTATAACTGTAATCATTGAAATGGTGAGCGCTTCTTTAGTGCTCTAAATTTTATAAATCCTGTTGGGTTCATTCGCTTAGATCGCATTGTTACTAGTGAATACTTTGGCATTGTTTCCATGTGTTTTTCCTAACTGGGTAAACACGACATTTTGGCATAATTTTGCTCGAAGTGTCTGATATTCAAATTTCGCTTTCTGGGTCAAAACTATTCGAATTTCCTCACTTACGTTGTTACGACTGAATCGACTTTTCAATTCTCTATCCAACGATGTCAAAACGAATTTTTTGGCTCGAATGGTTCTTGAGAAACTTCGAAAAACGCAGCGTCATGTTCAAGTGGATTTTGCAACTCAAAAAAAACCGACGCAAATCTAAAACTTGTTGAATTCAAGCATTTTTTGAGAAAACTGCCAACATTTCCTTATCGATGGTTCACTTGCTAAAAACGCCATTTATTTCTCTCTAGAATGACGTACAAATGAGCGTTCTTGCTCATTTTTCCTCCGAGAAATGATCAAAAACGAGACGGAAAACATGAAATTTTGGCATAATTTTGAACCTAAGTGTCTGATATTCAAATTTCGCTTTCTGGGTCAAAACTACTCGAATTTCCTCACTAACGTTGTTACGACTGAATCGACTTTTCAATTCT